CATTACCGTACAACCGTTCTCTATAAATTCTCTTGCAGTAATAAGAGCGAATCCCGCAATTTCTCCAACTGTCGCACAATTTGATCCAGCCAAGGCCGAAGAAATATCAAGAACGGTATACATTGGTAATATCAATTCCTCGATATCGGAACCGGAATTAACACAATTCTTTTCGGCCTGTGGTCCAGTTGCCTATGTGAAAATGGCAGGTGATCCAGCTCAACCTACAAGGTTTGCGTTCTTAGAGTTTGCTACTTTTGAAGGTGCGCAGGCTGCTATGCAAATGAATGGCGTTATGTTAGGAGATCGACCTTTAAAGTAAGATTATTTATTGTTTGTGAATTATCGTAATCAATATTATACGCATATATCTTATTAATATTTCTTTATATTATTCCTATAGAGTAAATCATTCGAAAAATGCAATTAATAAAACACCTAAGAAGAATGATGCACCGGATGTACAAGCCACCATGCGTCGTGTTAGGGAAGCACAACTAAGAATTGCTAACCGATTAAATACCGATGGGCCTATACCAGATAATTCTCCTTCAGCATCAATAAATGATGTTGAAATGATGGATGTTAGTTCACCTGCTGCTGAAGCGGTTCTACCTCGTAGTCGTTCTAGATCCATCCGGCGTAGTAGAACTAGGTCTGGAACGCGAAGTCGTAGTAGGCCCAGGAAACGTAGGTCAAGGACTAGGTCAAGGTCGAAAGACAGAGGTATGTACGTTTAGATTATTTGATGAGATTATAACAAATTTATTTAAAATGTAACTTAACAAGTTTATCATAATAGATTACCATTATAGAAGGAGACGTTCAAGGGATCGTGGAGATCATGATAGAGGTTTGAATCTTGGCTTGGCTTGTTTTAATCAGAGGTATCAGCGCGACTATGGTGAATGGTCAGGCCACGAAAGTGGCACTTTTTAATAAGCTCTTTAATAAGCAAATTACTGTGCTGATACCTCTGAATTGGAGTATTGAGCCCGTATAGTTAGTACAATCAGCGCATTGACATTTAGAGTTTATTGACTAAACTCTATTGTAGGTGACCGATATAGAGATCGTGACAGAGAACGGGAACGAGAACGTGAGAAAGAGAGGGATCGTGAGAGAGAAAGGGAACGTGAGCGTGATAGAGAACGTGACAGGGAACGTGATAGAGAACGTGATAGAGAACGTGACAGAGAACGTGATCGTGATAAAGAAAGAAGGGAAAGAGACAGGGATAGGGACAAGGACAAAGACAGGGACAAAGAGAGAGACAGAGAAAAGGATAGAGACAAAGAAAAGGATAGAGACAGAGAAAAGGATAGAGACAGAGAAAAGGATAGAGACAGAGAAAAAGACAGAGAAAAAGACAGAGACAAAGAAAAAGACAGAGACAAAGAAAAAGACAGAGACAGAGAAAAAGACAGAGAAAAAGACAAAGAAAGAGAAAAAGACAGAGAAAGAGAAAAAGATCGAGATCGAGAAAGAGAAAAAGATCGAGAAAGAGAAAAAGATCGAGAAAGAGAAAAAGAC